GGACTGCGGTCTTCAGCTTTGGCTCACACTCCAGGCTCTCTGAATCTTTTCTCTGCGGACCGCGGTAAAAGGACCGCTGTCGCGGTAAGGATACCGCGGTCGAATAAAATCACCGCGGACTGTGGTAACTTGCAATGCCTAAAATTGTATCTCTCTGAACCTTGCCACCGCGCACCGTGATAAAAGGACCGCGGTCACGGTGGGTCTTCTGCGGCCACGGTGGATTTTTCGCTGTAGCGGTGCTTTGACTTGGCTTTGCACTTGTGCAGGTTTCACTACGTTTTGAGCTGGTTTTGACTTCCTTGTCACTTTTTGACCAAACACTGCAAACAAGCACAACATGTAAGCTTTCGGGATTACTTATATACACTTTTAATCTAAAACTCAAGCAAAAAGGAGCATAAAATAGACTAGAATCCCTAGTTATCGTTAGCCAACCAAGTAGGGTATTCAACCACTCTGAGAACCTTAGCTTTGATCTGCTTGGTGACTTCCTCTTTGATTTTCAGACTCATATCCAGCTTGAACTTTCTGAGTTCCTGCTTTACTGGCGGACACATCGGATTGGTGGGTAGTTTATGAGCCACTATAGATGTGCTCAAACCGGTCATATCATCATAAGACCATGCAATGATATCTTCGTATTCTTTCAGGAAACAGGTGTATTCCTCTTTCTCTGATGGTGACAGGTGATTGCTTATGCGAGTTTCTTTGATTGTTTTGGAATCTCCCAAATTGACTATCTCGGTCTCGTCCAGATTGGACTTAGGCTTGTTCTAAAAATTTCCCACTTCTCTGACAATTTCCTCAGGTATTATATCTTCTTCTTCTTCTATTTCCTCTGAATCACTATCCTTATGTTGCATTGTCTCATTACATGTAACAGTCGTTGGTTCATCAAGATAAGTAGTAATAATAATGTTGTAGAGAGAAAATATAAAGGATAATATAAATACTAAAATAGCAATGCATTACATAAATCTTGAAACATTAAAATAAGTACAGCTCGATGACTCGAGCAATTATTTCAAAACAAAATACGTCCAAAACAAATTACTAAAACTGTCTTAAATGTATAAAAAATGCTTTTAGAAATAGATCATGCTAATTGCCAGGCTACCCAGGAACTCAACGGGCCCGGGACAGTGCAGCAGTCCAGTTCTTGAGAATAGCCCCTTTTTCCAGGGTCTGAATTGTAAGGTCTTCCTCCTCCTCCTCAACTATTGCATTGCAGTCCATATCTTCATCATCCAGAAATAGATTCCTTAGGCCAGCTAAAGCTTCATCTTCCTCTGATCCCCATATCACGTCAGCCTGTTGAAATGTCTGGTGCAAATGCGGTATTGGCTGTTCAAGAGGGTAATAAGGACCACACCATGGCGGTGACCAATCATCGTACTCCTACCAGGTGTACTGATATCCAAGTCCAGAGGTTGTATCGTGACGCTTTGGTTGTATTGGTTTAGTGATACACTGAAGATTCTTGCCGAGACCCTTGCCGGGTTCATACCCTGTCCATGACAATATGCTTTAAATCTTATTACTCCACCATTTGTCTTTCTCAATTGCATTGACGCGCTCAATGCGATGGTACGTTTCTCCATGAAACTTCCTTCTATTTTTGACGACCGAAACAGTCTGATTAGTGTAAATGGGATTACTTCTATCCCTGTGGATGATTACTTTCTGATGATTCCATTCAAACTTCACAGCCTAATGTAGAGTGGAGGCTACAGCCCCAGCAGTATGTATCCACGGTCATCCCAACAGCAGATTGTATGTGGCGGATATGTCCAATACTTGAAATTCAATGTCAAACCAAGTCGGGCCCATCTGCAAACATAGGTTGATCTCCTCAATTGTGGCCCTTTGGGACCCATCGAATACTTTCACGTTCATAGTTCTTGCTCGTATCTCACGCAAACCTTTACCCAACCTCTTCAAAGTAGTCAATGGACAAATGTTGAGACTCGAAACCCCATCTATCAGGACCTTGGCGATGAATTTATTCTCAAACTGCACTATGATATGTAGTGCCCTGTTGTGACTCAGTCCTTCTGGTGGTAGCTCGTCTTTGTGAAAAGTGATCTTGTGACTTTCCAACACCTGTCCTACCATGTTGGCCATTTCTCCGCTAGTGATGTTATTGAGTACATAAGCTTCGTTCAACACTTTCATCAATGCATTCCTATGCGTTTCAGAATTATGTAGTAGCGATAGAATGGATATCTGAGCGGGGGTTTTGTTAAGATGATCAACCATAGAATACTCTCTTGCTTGTACCTTTCTCTAAAGATCATCCAGGCAAGTTTCAATGATAGGCTACTTGGGAGCAGCTTCTTTATTTGTTCCTCCCAAATGCTCGGGCATGTAAACCCTACCAGTCCTGATCATGCCTTGCGCTGCACCGGTTTCTTCCATTTTCCCTTTCCTTTTCTTCTTGCCTCTCCAGCATAGTCCCATGGTATAGCATTGGATTTAAAGGACGGTGTGGGTGCTACCGTCACTATGAAGGGCGCGGTTACCTCCACCTCAAACAGAGTTGGTGCGTCTAAGGGCGTTGTTGCTTTAACCTCAAACAGAGTTGGCGTGGCTATTTCAACCTCAATCGGTGACTGAATCTGCACTATAATAGGTGTGAGAGTGACTGGAGGTATTTTAGGTTCATCCCCTTCACGAATGAGCCCGATCGATCCTTCCGGATCCCATTCTTCATTAGTTTCTATCACATTTACCCCTTCGCCTCTATGATCTAGGAGGGGGTTATTGCGGACATTTGGTGCAATCTCTTTTGCTTGTATAGCCTTGGTGTCAATCAGTGTCTGGATCTTATCCTTTAAAGTGCGACATTCGTCAATAGTATGACCCTTCATGCCCGAGTGATAGGCACATGTCTTGTTTGGATTAACCCATTGGGAAGAGTTTTACATAGCAACAACGGGAATGGAGGTGACATAACCGGCAGCTTTCAGTCTCTCATACAACTGATCGATGGGTTCAGCAATAGGAGTGTATTGTCTGGGTGTTCTACGGTCAAAATTTGGTCTGGGTTTTTGGTAGTTTTGGCAAGCTGGTGGTGGTGACTGGTAATATGTTGGTTGTGTGTTATAAGTATGGTTGGTGGCGGCGGGTTGTTGGTATCTGGGAGGTGAAGGCTGATATGTGGGTGGTGGGGTTTGGTATGTAAGAGGAGATTTTGGACCTTGGGCTACCATTAGTGCACCAACTTCTTTATTTTTAGATATACCTCCTGACTGCAAGGCTTTGTTTGTAGCTTGGAGTGCCTCAAAATTTGTCACCATCCCTCTTTTAATTCCCTCTTCTATTCTTTCTCCTAATTTGATGATGGCAGAAAATTTATGGTTTTCAATAACCATCAACCTCTCATAATATTATGGATCTTGAGCTCTGACGAAGAAATTATTCTTCTGTTCTTCTTCCAGTGCTAGCCTTACTTTTGCAGCTTCTGGTCTCCATCGAGTACCATACTCGCGGAAAGTTTCTGTGGGTTTCTTCTTAAGATTCTTACTATAGAAGACGCCTGGCGCATTTTCTATATTAAACCTGAACCGATCCATGAAATCTAACAAAATATTTACCCAATTAACCCATTTCTTCGGGTTTTGACTGATGTGCCAGGACAGGGCATCTCCAGTGAGGCTCTTCATGAACAACTTCATGCGGATTCTTTCGTCTTTACCTACCCCTACGAGCTTGTCACAATATGTTCTCAAATGTACCTTCGGATCACCTGTTCCGTAGAACATTTTGATCTTAGGAAGTTTGTAACCCTCTGGTAGTTCTACGTCCGGCTGGATACACAAATCTTCATAATTCAAACCTTCGATGCCTTTACCATCTTCAACACCTTGGACTCGACTAGTAAGCTTCTTGAGTTCCTTTGCCATGTTCTTGATGAGCAGTTCCTTCTCGGCGGATTCGGATATGTATAAGGTTTGATGTGGAGTGTGGGGTAAGCTTTCCACATATATGGGGTTGCTTTGATGGACTCTAGGAATTTGGGCATAGTGGTGGTCATTGGTTGAGTTTTGGGGATCAGGGGTAGGTTGTGCTGCATTTTGAGGAGTGTGGTAGGTGGTGGTTTGTGAATACTGGGTTGGATGGTGATGATGTTGTGGAGGAGTCGGTGCTGGTGGAGGATTGGGATTTTGAGGAGGTGTAGCATATTGGTGACGTGCGGGAGGACTTTGCTAGTTTTGTGTGTTCTGGGGAGGTGCTGGGTTTTTGATGTTTTGTTGGTTGACGTCGGGGACGTTAAGGGTAAGGTAAAGGTTTGCCAAGTTCCGGACCTGCTCAAGTTCCCCTTGTAACTCCAGTATCTTCTGTTCCAACTGCAAAACCAAGTCATTCTGTGCCGGAGTACTCCGACCATCTGAAGTCTTGATGTTCTCCTCATGCGTAGCGTTATCTTTCCAGATATTGCTTGTATCATCCATTCTGGATTTTCCTTTGCTTTTAGGATCACTTGGAGGAGGAGGAGGTGAAGGACCTCTGGATCTGGTATGATATGCTGATGATGCCAGTATGGACGAACCAACCTTAGGAAATGGAAATAAACAAATAAAGAAAAGAAGAAAACAAAAAGGTAAACAAGTTAGTAAGGAGTATTAAAAGGATGTTTGCGGTATTTAAACACATATCGTGGAATTATAAATTCGCCTCCTAGTTTGGGGACCTCATTGTACCCGAGGTAGGCCTAAGCGACATATAAATTTGGAGAAAACCGATGCCAATAACTATATCATTTCATTAATATGATAAATGAACCAAATCTCAACTAAAACGACAATAATTATAAAAGAGTCGCTAATGGCATTTGCCTTATTTTTTGGTAATTAAATGATTTTATTTACCAAGTGTAAATATTTACAGCATAGTCAAAACTGAACTTCCTGCTTTCTATACGCCCACTGGACATGCAGCCCCAGTTAGGATTTTACTACCCTTCCTACTCTTCAACATTTCTATGTTTAGCACTGTTACATTACATCAGGGTACCAATTCAAAGTGCTCATAGTCCTTCCTAGCCTAGGGAATATGGTAGCTTTAACATGAATTTCCTGGATGATTGATCTGATTATGGCTTTAGTTGGTCTATTTTTCTGTTGGAAAATAACATTATTCCTCTCTTGCCAGATATGATAAACTGCTGCTGCTAAGGACATTCTGCATAGTTCTGCTCCTCCACTTCTACCTTTAGCTCTTCTTTCTATCCATGCCAGCTCTTCTTTCCAGCCTAACTTTGTTCTTTGGATTCCTTGCCATTTTAAGAGTTGCTGCCATATGGTTGCTGTCAACTCACATTCAAAAAATAAGTGTTGTACTGTTTCAATCTCTCTTTGACATAGTGAGCATGTGGTATCAATCTGTATCCCCCATCTTGCTAGCCTTTCTTTTGTGGCTAGCCTTTCCTGTATTGCCAATCTTAAAATGAACTTCCACTTTGGTAATCCATAGTTGTTGCAGATTAATCTCCTCCATGGTACTTTCTGAAATTCCCCTTGCATAGATTTGTACATGTGCTTTATAGAGAAATTTTCCATTCTCTTCACCTCCTCCTCTGTATATCCAGCAGTGTCAAAATACTTTCTTGCCTTGAAGATCTTCTGTATGACCAATGATGCATTCTTTGGCGTTGTGTCCATACTGGTTTCCCCTTTATGTAATACATATTGACCCATTGAACCCAGAGCTTGTCTTTCTTTTTGCATATATTCTATAGCAGCTTACAGATAGCTGTTTTATTCCATAGCTCCACATTAATGAAGTTTAAGCCACATGCTACCTTTGGCCAGCATAGTTTTTCCCATGCAATCAGTGCCTTCTTTGTAGGTTCTGCATTGCCTGACCATAAAAATCTTCTGCATATAGTGTTGATGAACTGAATGATCTTCTTAGGAAGGATGAAAATTTGAGCCCAGAAGTTTTGGATTGCAACCAGTACACTCTTAATTAACACTGCTCTTCCAACATAGGATAGAAACTTCGTTGTCCAGCATTGTATTCTACTCAGCATTCGATCGATTAGAGGCTCGCATTGGATTATTAATAGTTTCTTAGTGCTCAGTGGTACCCCTAGATATCTGAAGGGTAGTTCTCCCTTACTATACCCCAACATGTCCATGATTTTCTTTTTAGTCATTATATCCACAGCGCCTAAGTAGATGCAGCTCTTGTTTGGATTTGGAATCAGCCCTGATGCTCCAGAGAAAGTTTTAAATTGTTGGTGTAATGCCAGTACTGATTGTATGTCTCTTCTGCAAAAAAGTAACAAATCATCAGCAAAACCTAAGTGTACTAAGTTGACTTTAGCACACTTAGGGTGGTATTTGAATTCTTTTTCCTGCTTTAAAGACTTCAGCAGCCTACTCAGATATTCCATTGCCATCACAAACAGTACTGGTGACAAAGGGTCACCCTGCCTAAGCCCCCTTTTTTGCCTCAAAAGGTTTTGTTGGTTGTCCATTGATTATTACAGTATAGGCTACTGTACTTATGCACACCATTATCCATCTTACAAACTTCTCAGGGAACCCCAGTAACTTCATCACTTGTTCAATATATACCCATTCCACCGAGTCATATGCTTTTTGCATATCAATTTTAAGCATACATCTAGGTGATATGCTCCTTCTTCCATACCCTTTGATCAATTCATGGACCATGATGATGTTATCAGTAATCATCCTTCCTGGTACAAAAGCTGTTTGGCAGTTATCTATGAGGTCTGGCATAATTTCCTGTAGTCTTGCAGTTAAAATCTTTGATATCATCTTGTACAGAACTGTGCAACAAGAGATAGGCCTGAACTCTTTGATGTTGGTTGGATTCTTTACTTTAGGGATCAGGGTGATAGTTGTACAATTTATAGCTTTGCACATTTCAGTAGTTTCAAAAAACTCCAGCACTGCTTCAGTAACTTCCTCTCCAATCATGTTTCATGCCTTCTTGAAAAAGTGGGAGTTATATCCATCACATCCTGGTGTCTTGCTATCATCAATGCCTTGTAATGCTTTCTGCACTTCCTCTTTAGTAATTGGTTTTGATTAACTGCATTTGTTGCTGCCTATTCAGAGTGTATCCATTCTGCATGACATTTGGATCAACTATTGGTAATGTTGAGGCTGCTGTACCAAGTAGTTTTTTGTAGAAGCTTAGGATCTCTTCTTCTACTTCATTGGCACTTTGTAGAAGTTGTCCTGTGTTGTCCATCAGTCTGCCTATGTGGTTTCTTGCCTGCCTGTTTTTTACACAAGCATGAAATTATGTTGTGTTAGAGTCCCCTACTTTAAGCCATTTGATTCTTGCCTTCTACTTCATAATACTTTCCTCCACTTCCAGCCATTTTGCCAGTTCAACTTTTGTCTCCTTCTCTTGTGCTATTACTTCATCATTATTTTCTGGAGATTCCATTCCCATTTGAATGTTCATCAGTTTGTTCCTTGCTGCTTGGATCTTTGGCCCCACACTGCTGCACTCCTTATTGTTTAATTTCTTCAGATCTTTTTTCAGATGCTTTAATTTGTACCACACCTTCAGCATTGGATTTTCCTTAATTCTCTTCTTCCAACATTGACTGACTATATCATCAAATTTATGGTGAGCTGCTAAGCAATTAAAGAATTTGAATGGTCTTTTTCCCATCCTAGTAGGCTCAGCAACAGTTACCATTATAGGGCAATGATCTGAAAAACCTGGTTGCATAATAGTTCCCTCCATATTAGGCCATTTTTGTATCCACTCTGCATTGGCAAGTATTCTATCTATTCTACTATGGACATGGTTGTTTGTCCAGGTGTAGTTCCTCCCTATTGTTTTGAGTTCAGCCAGTCCAACATCAGCTATGAATTTTTTGAAGTCTGTCACTTCCCCTTCTTGTACTGGATTCCCCATCACTCTATCTTCTATGGACAAAATACTATTAAAGTCTCCCATTATTAAGCTTGGGTCTTGTATTCCACTCATAGTTTTAGTTCCTTTCAAGTCAGTTCACAAGCTCTTCCTGTCCTGTATGCTATGTTTTCCATACACTATAACAAATATGAACTTGTTGTTGCATTGCCTCAAAACCACCTGTCCTGCTATGTATTTTTCATGGACTTGTTTAACCTCAAACTCCACCTTTGTTTAGTCCCCAATTACCCAAATCCTGCCACCAGGTGCCTCATCATAGTTAGCAGTCCATTGACAATTGCCAAACACCTTCCTCATTATTGGTTAAGCTTTATTAGCCTTGACTCTATTCTCCAGTATAGCTATTAATACTATATTATTCTCCCTACAGAATTATTTTAGTGCTTTTTTCTTATAGACTTTATTCATACCCCTAACATTCCATGTTATGATATTCATCATGCTATAATATTTATTTTGGGATCCCCATCACCTTCATTTCTTCTTCTCTGCCCTCTTGTCCCCTGTGTTTCAGACAGTTGCACAATTTTTTGAGTTGTGTCAACTAAGGCTTTAAAGGCATTTCCAATGTCTACTTCATCCTCTCTGTTGATTTCCATTTGCTTTTTTTATGCTGATTTTCTTCTAGCAACCTGCCATTCTTCATCTTTTCCTTGTTGATTAGGCATAGCTTCTCCATCTGGTTCAAATTGTTCCAGGAATCTTCCATGAGCATCAATTCTGTCCACCTTAGGATCAAGGACCCTTGCTATTCTCCATTCTTGCTTTAGCTTTTGATTATTGCCTCTCTGTTGTCCATCCTCTTTGTTCAGTCTCTGTTGATCATTACATGAGTGACCAATTTGACAGCATATTTGGCAACATTGGGGCTTCCAGTCATATTGTACTATCTGCTCAATCACCATTCCCTTAGGATCATGAAGTTTTATTGATACTGGTAAGGGTCTAGTAATGTCCATTTCTATTAACATCCTTGCATACGAGACTTTATCGGCCATGGTAGTACACACATCAGCATATAGAGGCTTCCCTGAACCACTCCCAATTTTACTTAATGCTTGATTAGTCCAGTATCTAAGTGGTAACTTAGGGAATTTTACCCATAGAGGGATGGTTCTGAGTATCTCCTCACTAAAATCAAACCCCTCCTTCCATGGTCGCATGATAATTGGTCTGCTGTTCATAGTATACGGTCCATTCAATATTTGTGAGCACGTGATTTTTGCCTCGCTTGAATTACTCCTACATAATTCTTAAAATTAGGATTTTTCCTTTTATTATTTGATTTTTAAGATTTAATTGCGTAATTTTGTGTGTATGATAATTCATAAAAAATACAAAAATATTGCATGAGCATTTATGATTTAATTTTACATATTTTTAGACTAATTAGTAATTAGGCTTTTATAAAAATACAAAAATTCAGAAGGAAAACTTTGATTTATTTTGTTTGATTTTAATTTTAGTTTTTAAGTTTACTAATTTCCTTTAGATTGGTAGTAGTCTAATTGTAGCTTAATTAGGTAGTTTGAACTAATTTTGAGGTTTAATTTTAGTTTAGTTTTTAAATTGAAAAAAAAAAGAAAAAGAGAGAAAAACAAATGAAAGAAAAGAATTAAAGGAATTGGAAGGGGCCTGTTATTTTTGGGCCAGTTATTGCAAAGTAATTCACCAACCCAAATAAACCCCTGTACCCGTCTCAACCCAAAACCAGCCCAAATGCCCGGTCCGGCCTCAACTTAAACGACGTCGTTTGGGCAACTTTCAATCAGAACCGCCGAGGTTTCTTGATCGGACGGTCCTAAAGCCCACATCATTTGATATAAATCTGTCCAAACAAGACCTGACCCCCCTCAGGCCCCCTACCTCACCATCTCTCAGAACCCTCCAACCTCCGGTGTACCGCCATCCGCCGCCATCCTCCGCCGTCTGTCGCCGACCGGAAATCGCCTCCGCCGGCGGCGATTGTCCAAATTCCCCAAAATTTACACCACAACCTCCTCTCCTCCTCCTCATTACGGATCCAAGCTCCGTTTTTCTCAAATCCCCTCCAAACCCGTCGAATATCCAAAACCCTAGCGCCGCCTCCGCCGTGTCCGGTGGTGCCACCACCTAACCACCACCAAATTAACACCCTTGAACCCCCGTCTTTCCCTCATTCCAAATCCCCACTCATAATCCTTCAAACATCCCTGTAACGCCGCAAATTTCAAATCAAATATCAAACCCTAAGAGTTCAATTTGGAGTTTGAATCTGTGAGGCCTCTGGTCCAGTTTTCGCAAGTTTAGGGTTCGATTTAGCCACGAAATAATGTTTTTCGTTTGTTCTTGGCAAAGAACAAATGATTAACATCATTTCGAGGCTCAAATCGGAGGCTAGTCGTGTTCAAGTTAAATTGGTGAGTTTTTCTAGTTTGTTTTTGTTTGTTTCACTTGATATTTGAATTTTCTTCTATTGAAACTAGTTTAAACCCAGTTTCTCTGTTTTCTTTAGTTTAATCCGTTCATTCATGCCTGATTCTTTCATGTTGCACCTTGATGTTTGCCTGCCTATTTTCTTAGATTTTTAGGTTTAAAATTACTGATTGTTCCTTCTGATAGCATTTTCTGTTTGGTTGATTTTGTTTATTTCTTGTTCTGTTTGATCGACAATTCGTAGTAGTAGCTTTCAATTTTAGTTAATTAAAATTAATTCAAGCTTAAAATTAGAGTTGTTTGGATTTACATTCCAATTTAATGGATTGGTCTTGATTGGCTATCGTTTGGTTAGTACTGAATAATTCAAAGCCTTTGTAATTAACCTGGGTCATCATTGACCAAGTAAAAGGGGTTGGTGTAGTTGGACTTGGGTTAGTCTAACCTAGGTTAATAATTTTAGGGGTAAATACAGGGGTAATCAAGGGGTAATTTGGGCAATTCAATTAAAGAATCTTGCAGTAACTGAAAGTAGAAGCCCCAAGAAGCTTCTAGATTGGGGTTCTAATTTAAATTTCAGGAATTAAGTAGTATAACTTGGGTAACAAGTCAGTACCCTAAGGGCTTTTAAGCTAAAAACTGAAAATTAAGAGGGGGCTAAGGTGTAAAGTAAAAATCTGAAAGGTGCCCTAATATTTGCCTATAAAAGGCAGTATACCCTGCCTTGCAAGCTATGGTTTGGAAGTTTTAGAGATCTGAAAATTTGAAATCCAAGTCTAAAAAAAATCAGAAAATTTGAAATTTGAAAGTTTGAGAGGGAATACTGAAAATCAACAAAAGTTTCTGCAGAATTTGAGAATTTTAGTATATAGAGTTTAGATCTTAGAGCTCAAAACAAAATCCTGAAAAAATCAACAAAAATAGCCTAGAAATCCACCAGATCTACTGTTTCATCAAGTTTCAGCAGTTTAAATTCACTTCCAAGTGCTGAAACTAGGTGGAATTCACCTGTTAAGAGTCAATTTGAATCATCAAAGTCTGGTCTTAAGTTCAACTGGGTCCTTTGCTCAATTGAACCTTATTTTTGGTGTTTGCTGCATCTCAACTCCTGAATTTTGCATTGGACTTGCTGGGATTTTGCTGAGATTGCATCTGTTACATTGCTGCTGTACATCTGACCTTCAATCTTCTTATTTTGCTCTAATTTCCAGGTATTGCCTTGTCCTCTAAATGATGTTTGAAGTTTGCATCAGAACCTATTGAAGGAATGAAGAGATTGTTGCACATTTCCCCTGTTAATCCCCTTATGTTGTCTGGTTCATGCTGAATTTGTTTAGTTTAATCTAGTTTACTTTCAAACATGTTTGTTTAGGTGCTGAATTTAGGCTCCATGAGAATGTGAAAAATTATATAGTTTAGACACATGATTATTTGTAATAACTGGACTGTTGGGACTCATGAATGTCCATTTAGTAATGTTAGCGTAATTTTAATGTTTTAAGGGTTGCTATCATGTTAGTTTGAATGTTAAAAATTGGAATATGGTGTGGGCTTGAAGCTGGTTTTAGGACCAGTGTTTGTACTCCATGTTAACGTTAATTTTGGGCCTAATGAATATTTGAGATGTCTCCACACTTCAGTATTAAATTTCAGTAGTTTATGTCTAGTTTCAGTCCAATAAATGCCTTAAGTTCTGCAAATGTGTTATGTAAGTTTAAATGTGGTTCTGGAAGTAAAAGCTTCAGAATGAGTGTGTGTGGTTCATCAGGATACATATAATTTGAATATGAGCATGAAATTTAGACTTAAAATCAGCATGTGTTCGATTTGAGCGGAACTGAATTGTTCATGTGTTTTTTGCAAAATTATCAGGTTTAATTGTGATTCAAAAGTCAGTGTTTCTGCAATCCAATTTAATTTCAGTGCTTGAGTTGGTAAATTGAAAGAGAATAAACAAATTTAAATTGATTTTTATACTTGTTAGTTAAAGTGCCAACAATAGGCTGCCCAGGTGATCGAAATGGGCCTGCTTAGAGGCCAAAATATTAATCACTTTACAGCTGAGGCGTTTGTACGCAGGCAGCTTTAGGGATTCAAACACTAAATATTGGGCCTCTCCTTCAGGCCCAGTTGTATCACCTTAGCCTTGTATTTAGTTACCAGATTTTAAATTCATAGCCCATATCTAGTCCTTATGACCTTAGCCAATTAGTAAGGCCCTCAAAAATAACTCTAGGAAGGCCTTCTTAAATAACATAATAGTTCATGACCCTTCAACCTTAGTCTAGTATCCTTTAAAAAATGAAATCGAGGTGCGCCGCGCCAAACAAAAATCATAAATTGCGTGGCCCTCTTTAAATACTTCCATTAAAATACTTAGAACTCGGGACGTGCCATTTAGCGAATTTTCATGGCCTCCCGCAAAGTTATCAACACGTTAGTTGCTNCGGGTATGGCCTCCGACGTGGTACATGGATCAGGATATCTCTCGCTGGCATATCTGGGACGACCTTGCTAGAGACTTTGTCAGACAGTTCCAGTACAATATAGACATTGCTCCAGAC